CCTATTTATAGGTGGAGCAGTAGCTCTATCAATTACCGTAAAAAAAATCAACTAACATGCTCACCTGAGAAATACTAAAATATGTACAAAAAACAAGTTCCAACAAACATAAAGTGAGGGGAAAATATGCTGAACAAAAGAAAAGGGTAAAAAATGTGCCCCCAGCACATAACAGAAGTCACTTGTAATAACAACCTTTCAAAAACGTGATATCTCATTTGTGAAGCTGGACCAGTGAGGCATTCATGGACCTTTTTCTCTGTCGGTACAACTGAAGCGCATGTGCATGTTCTTTCTCATAATTATGACTTTCTATCTCTTAATTATGACTTTTAATCTCAGAATAATGATTTTTCATCTCATAATTATGACTTTTTGTTAATACTTTTTCACTGGTGGAAAAAGGCTTCCATAGTTTCCCCTTTTTTCGTTAGATTAGTAATGATAGTAATTAGTTATATATAATTAACAAACCTTGTTTTTTATCCTTAATCTGTCTGCTGTGGTGTCTGCACCTGAGTCCGAACCAGAATCGTAACAAGGTGTGCTCCAATAGCCACGTTTCCATACTACATAGTTTGTCATGTGCCAAAAATAGCAGGATGTCTGGTTGCTTCTGGCTGGATTTTGCAGTTTGCAGGCCAGCCTTCTATTCTGGCCATCCTTTCTTCTGCAAAAAAGGATGGCCAGGCAAGTTATGGCAAAAGCATGGGAGAAAAGAAATGCAGGCAGATTTTATTTTTCAATACCAACACTGAAACACATGTGAAATAGAGGAAGGGGCAGGAGGGACATTGTGGTCATTAGTAGGCTGAAACTGGGTCACTGTGCACTGAATCATGTGCTGACAATGGCTGGCATAAGAAAGAATTTCTGTCTTAGTCCCTTTATGTATGGTTGTCAGTAATCTGATGTTGAGGTGTATGACTCCACTTATATGATTGTGCTTGAGAATGCAAAATAGCATTCATATTTTTGATGTAAAGCAAAAACAAATTCAGATGATGGCATACTAATGTGCTGCAATGTAGAGTGGAAGGTTAATATGTCAGAATGTGATCAAAACAGCGACTGACACTACAGTTAAGTATAACATTTAAAATGCAGCACAGAAGCCAGAGAAAGAAGTCCTTTCCCCTCAATGTGAACTCACTACAGCCTTTCTTTAACTGCATGATAAACCTGCAAAGGAATTATTTATTTATTTATTTATTTTTTTTACTAATTACACCATTTGTAGTAGTTTTATGGGTGGAATAACTTTTGAATCAATAAGTACTTGGACATCAAATAGTACTTTGTGTGAGTATTCCTTGAATTCCAGTGAAGCGGTCAGTGAGCCTGAGCCTCCACTGCGATAGGGGGCGCTGTCTCCACAACATGTCTCATTTCACTGATTTCACCTCCATTACATTCTTTCATTAAAAGGTGTCCCAAGTGTAGTCGGGACCACAAACTGTCCAACAAATACAACATTAGACGGTCTGGTCGGGGCCCGGCGGCTCCGAGCGGAACCGTCCTCTGCTCTCACTTCCGTGTCACGGAGCTGCGCGACTCGTCTTCACCGGCCGACGCCGGGACCGGTGGACGATGTGTGACCAGACGCTGGACTACTTCGTGGGCCTGGCTGAGCTGGAGCAGCGGGACGCCGCCTGCCTGAGCTGGTCTCACGCCGTGAACAGCAGCAGCCGGCTAGAGGAGGCGCTGTCAGGTCGGTGGGCCGGAGGCACGAAGCCGCAGCCATTACTCTGCTAATATATGAATGAATTTACCAAAATATTTATTAATTACTAGTTACTACTAGTGAACCTCCATGTGATCACAGCAGCCTGTCTAAACTGGGAACCAGTAGCTCTTACTGGGGCACTTGGTTTGTATATGAAAGTGGAAATGACACGGGTTTACTTCATCCGTGCAGTAATTTGCAGTTCAGATGTGTTCCTATCATTAAATGATTAACACATTTTCATAAGAGTGTGTCTTGGTTTACATGGTGATAAAGAAACAGAAATATTGAACCAACAGCATCACATGACACATGACAGCTGTGGAGCACCACTGACTGGACATGGTCCCACTGTGACTCAATGAAATTTCCAAAACATAGAAAACAGGACTCATCATCATCCACCTGCAGGTCCCACGCACATGATTGAAGGCGACGTCCTCCTAAGAGGCTGCAACCCCAGAGAGCCCATCATGGCACACCCCCCCGACACCGACAGCGACCTGGCCCTGAGGCAGTGGCTGCTGGGAGTCAGGATGCACAGCAAGGGCATCAAGCTGGACTTCAAGAGGTAAGAGCAGGCAACGCTCCTCCTCAGTGCTCTGTGTGCGATGCTAACCCTGTGGTGTGTTCCCACGCAGCCTGGAGGCGGTGGCTCCGTCTTTGGTTCTGCTGGATGAGATGCTAGTTGAGCCCAGCCGTCCTGTGTGGGTCAACGCTGACATCCTGCCTGGTCCAGGGGGGCAGACCACACCTCTGGATCCTCAGGCTTTCCTTTCTGCTGTCACAACTCTTCCCACTGACACTGTGCTGTCTCTTGGCTGGACCACACACTGGACCGCTGGGACAGATAACCCCGGTGAAAACATTTCTGCACCGCTGGCTGTGTTTATGTGGACACCTTTATTCTGCTGATAACAGAAGAAAAACACAGTGCAGACAGCTGTGTCATTCGGAGAGAGGTTTATTCACATTCAGTAGTTGAGACGAAACAATCATGATATCCGTGCTAAGTGGTTCCACACCGTAGATTCTAGATTTTGATGGTTAATAGTGTAAGTGTTTGAGAGCCTAAAAAACATTTAACATCATACATACTGGGAGAAAATAGATGTAGTCATACCGTTAATTCAGAAGTACAGTGGTTCCAAAAGGTATTTGCATTCTGAAGCATGCCTAAAATGCATGCGTATTGTTATGTTAGCTTACAAAATGCTACAACAAATAGCTTTTTTTTTTTTTTTTTTTTAAATTTTAAAGAAAGACACCACTAGCATACTTAACAAGTAAAATAATCCAAAATCCAGTTAAGTATTTTATTTTGCTATCCCTTAACTCCTACTTACACAATTTCATTTCAACATAATCAGCTAGCATTGTTTTTAGTAGATTTTCAACAACAGTGGAGTTCTTTCACACAAAGGACAAAGATATCAGGCCTGACCACAAGAAAAGTAGAGAATTAAACTATCGTCATTCTTTAAATCAGTCCCTGACAGTGTTATATCTGAAATGAAAGGGTATAAAACCTGTAGATACTGTGAGTGGAAGGCTTGTATGCTGATTTGTTTTGTTTCCATTTGTTAGGTTACAGCTGGGATATGGTTCGTGTTATGCATGACATATGTGGAAGCCTTAAACATCCAGTCACCTTCCCAGTGCGTGGCGCTCTGCTGGCCCAGTCCTTCTCCCAGCTCTCATGGCTGCTGCAGCAGTCAGACAGGTGAATATCAGCACACTTCACAATAATAATAAGAAGAATACATAAGACTCATGTAGCACTTTTCAAGACACTCAGATGCTTTACAAAGCAGGGAAGACTACAAAAAATCAATAACATTAGGCCACTTAGCAGTGCAACTTCTCTGTTTAGTTCCATTGCTGGACGCATCCTGTCAATTTACTTTAGTCAAGGAAATGTGTGGGATTTTACAACCTCATGTATTTCCTATAATTGTGGCTGTTTTGGCTCTATGTGACCTTGCATTCTGAACATCTGTTCTGAAAATCTAGGGTAACAAGACCATGCATAAAACAAAGTATGTTGAATCAACAGCACAAGTGCGTGATTTTTGCATTATTCTTTAAACACTTTTGGTTAAGTATGTGTTTAGTGACCAAGACTAAGTCGGGTGGCATGTTTGAGGAGGAGCAGTGCATCCAGTACATAATCTCTCTTTTAATAAGGAATCGCATTTTGAAGTTGGCAAAACTTTGGACACAGAAAAATTACAGATCTGGGTAATGGCTTAATGACAAATTTTGGATTTATTCCCTCCAGATGTCTTTCACATGATGGTCTGTTGAGTTATATCTGTAACCAAAGACTGCCAGTGGAGCTTGAGTGTGTCTGCCCTGCCAGCTTAGAGAGGGATTACTCACTGAAATCCCTCTAACAAACGTGTGTCTTTGTGGCCATGATTAGCCTCTAAATCTATCTTTAACATCCTATGTTTTGACAATCACTTGTGAAGCACTTGAGCATTTGATTTGTTTAAAAAGTCCCATTTGAATAAAGATTGATCGTTTGATTACCTTACATTTCTTTGGAAGTGGTAAAAGATTGTGGAAGCACACTCTTCACTCATATATGACCACTGTCAGCCTCCTCATTAATTAGCACAGAGCCGAGGGGTGCTGGGTGGTCCCGACCACCTCAGACTAAAGTCTGACCACCAGACACAGCCGACTGTGAGCCTGTTAAAGGGCTGCACATGCTCGTAGAATTGGACTTGTGTTGTCATTCATTTTAAAAGTATAACCTGGATTGGAAACAAAGAATAAGCAAATAACAAAAGTAAATATGAATGAAAATAGGGACTGTTTAGCTTATAGTTATTTGCCATGCAGAAAACAAATCAACAAGATATCAGTTTGTGTGCCGACCCAGCCTCAGCCTGACCACCCCTATAAAAACTGTTGTGCTCCATCATATCTGTCCTTATATTTGGGTCATTCTGTGTCAACTCAGAGAGATTAGGGGAGGTCAGTTGCTTGACCATCTCAGAAGCTCTTGAAACTTTGTAGGAATGATCTTTGGCATCTAAAACTGACATCTGCAATTTTTTTGTCTAATATTCTGACATTTTCAGAATTTTTCAACCAATGGAAATTTTCACTAAATCATTCACAATTTGAAAATTGAGCAAGATGCCACTTTCAGATGTCCATATCTCACTCCTACAAAGTTTCAACAGATTCTGTGACAGCCAAGCAGCCACCTTCGCTGAGTTGACATGGAATGACCCATATATCCATCCATTATCTATACCCCTCTCAATCCTCACTAGGGTCGCTGGGGGCTGGAGTCTATCCCAGCTGACTTAGGGTGAAAGCAGGGGACACCCTGAACAGGTAACCAGTCTATCACAGGGCTACACATAGAGACAGACAACCAAGCACACTCATATTCACACCTACAGACAATTAAGAATCACCAATTAACCTCAACATGTTCTTAGACTGTGGGAGGAATCCAGAGAACCCACACTGTATGGAAAGAACATGCAAACTCCACACAGAAAGATCCCAGGTGTCCTTACCGGGACACGAACCGGCAACCTTCTTGCTGCAAGGCAGTGGTGCTAGCCACCGAGCCACCTTGCAGCCCTGACCCATATATATAATAATAAAATCCCTGCACTGCAATTGTGTGGAGAAACATGATATCTTGACAACTGAGATTGACACACATATTGATAGATAACAAAAATGATATATTCCAATGTCGTTCACAGGTACACTCTAACGGTGTGGACTGGTCAAAATGATGAGTTAACTCTACAGGAATTGCTGCCCTACAGAAAAGAGATTGACGTGAGCAGAGTCTACTATGACCTGCCCAACTCTCTGAGGACAGAGCTCAGTATGATATCACAAGACAATAACTGAAACTCTTCTGAGTCCACCAAGAAGTTGTCTGGCTGTGGCTACTTAACTCTGACAGCAGGCTGATGCCTCCAAGTGGAAGAGAGAAGGTTTCGGCTGTGGCTCAGGTTGCAGAGCGGGTTGTCCACTGATTGCAAGGCTGGCAGTTCCATCACCGGCCCCTCCCTCTACATGTCACAGTGTCCATAGCATAGACTGTATAAAAAATGGACGTAGCTTCCTGGTTGAAATCTTGGATTTTTGGAGCCAGTGACGCAAAAATCGTCGGAGGGGGGCGGAACCATAGGATCAGCGATTGGTCAGATGGATTGAGAGGCAGGCCCTCTCTGCCCACCCACATTTACTGCCTTCTGCTCGCTTCATCTGTATGGTCGCTGCCGACTGTCAATCAAGCCAGCCACGCCCCTTGCCCCGCAAAATGTTGATTTTTTGGAGCCAGGACTAGCGGACGTAGTGATATTGCAGGTTTTTGACACTTCCGGGTTGGCTTCATTTTTCGGGGCCAAATCACCAATTAACCTCAACATGTTTTTGGACTTGTGGGAGGAAGTTGGAGAACCCAGAGAGAACCCATGCTGCATGGGGAGAACATGCAAACTCCACGCCAGGATGAGAACTGTCAACCTTCTTGCTGCGAGGCAACAGTGCTAACAACTGCGCCACCTTGCAGCCCAACAGATTCAGAATGACTTAAATTAATTAGTCTGCCAAATATGTTTACATGCTTGAGTACTAGTTAATGCTGAAATACTTTCTTAATGCAATCCTTCTGATGAAACACATGGAATTGTTTAAATATTTAAATCCATAAATTGAATTTTTTAGGGCTTTTTCTGTGTCTGGATTTCTCTGGCCTCCTCTCCACAGTCAAAAAGTATGTGATAGAGTGGTTACCTGTCCAGGTGAACCTGCTTTTACCCAAACTCAGCTGGGATAGACTCCACCACCCATGTTGAACTGATGAGGTTAATGGTTGAGTGTGCTAATGAAGTGTTGCCACTGGAAACCCTGCATGTAGGGAAAAGAGTATCTGAAAATGTTCTACAATTTCAAGGATGCAGAGTTACTAATTGGCAATTCAGACAAAAGGTTTTTCTAAAAGGAAAAGCTCAGCTAGACCAAATTAAAAAAACAAAATGTGTCAGGCTGCTGTGTTCTTCCTCAGCATGCAGTTGATGTTTAAATGGAACTTTGATTTCCAACACTTCGCTCCATGCTCAAAATTTAGATAATGGATGTATTTTGTTTTATTTCTTTTTTTTTGTGTAGAAAAGATCATCATCTTAATAAATGATCATTTCTAGAATTTAGAAAACTACCAAACTATATTTAAGGAGACACAATGCACTAGTTAAAATGCTTCAGAAATGTTTTGAAAAAAAGTTGTCAGTGTATACCACTTTTCTAAATAATGATTGGTTTAATAAAAGTAGTTTCAAAATGGATGTTTTTTGAGCTGTGTTTCATTCTGTGCTGTTCTGTCTTTGATCCAAGGTGACTGTCAAAGCTGAAGTTTTCAGTAATGTTATAACAAGTCTCAGACCTCTTTTGCTTTGCAAAAGCAAATGTGTTGTTTCTGTATTAGAAGACATTTGTTCTAGTAATTGATTCTCATTTCAAAATAATAAAGATAAGAGGGAGACCACGTGTTCAGTCTTACTTCAGAGTACTTTGTGTCAAACCACCAACTCCTGTCCTTTGTCCACTGAGGTACAAATCAAATACAGCTGACAGCTAAGTTTAATTGCTGTTGACGAGGGTCATTTCTGATAAGAAAAAAGGAAATCTGTGACTGCATGTACCTTTATTTATTTAAGCTAATTGTCCTGAAAATAAGTCAACATCTCAAATTATTAGAATAATTTCAAAGATAAAGATTTATAATACAGAAATGTGCTTCTGATAAGGACAATTTGTGTTCAAAATAATAGTATGTTTTAAAAAGTAAGTAACGCTCACAAACTCTGATAATAGCTTTTATATCCATACATGCAAATAGACTGGGAAGACTGCACATTCCATTCCAAATCAAAACTTGAAGTAAAATGTATCAAATTTGTTATTACTTTACAGAAAGTGAAGAAAAAGGAATATTTTTATTTTTTACACACACAAACATTTACTTTAATTCTTGAAGATTTAGCCTTCCTGTGAATCACTGAACTAATACTTAATTGTATAACCACTGTTTTTGAGAAATACTTCACATCTGTGTTGCATAGAGTCAACCAACTTCTGGCACCTGTGAACAGGTATTCCAGCCCAGGACGATTGGACTACATTCCACAATTCCTCTGCATTTCTTGGTTTTGCCTCAGAAACAGCATTTTTGATGTCACCCTACAAGTTTTCTGTTGGATTAAGGTCCAGGGATTGGGCTGGCCACTCCATAGTGTTAATCTTGTTGGTCTGGAACCAAGATGCTGCTCGCTCACTGGTGTGTTTGGGGTCATTGTCTTGTTGAAACACCCGATTCAAGGGCATTTCCTCTTTGGCAGAAGGCAACATGACCTCTTCAAGTATTCTGATGTATTCAGACTGACCCCTGATCCCTGGTATGTGATAAATAGGCCCGACACCACAGTATGAGAAACATCCCCATATCATGATGCTTGTGCCACCATGCTTCACTGTCTTTACAGTGTACTGTGGCTTGAATTCAGTGTTTGGGGGTCGTCTGACAAACTGTCTGCAGCCCCCAGACCCAAAAAGAACAACCTTGCTTCCATCAGTCCACAAAATGTTGCGCCATTTCTCTTTAGGTCAGTCAGTGTGTTCTTTGGCAAATTGTAATGTTGTCAGCACATGTCGTTCTTGCAACAGTGGGACTTTGCAGGGGCTTCTTGCCCACAGCTTGGCTTCACATAGGCGTCCTCTAATTCTTACAGTACTCACAGGTAACTTTAGACCTTCTGTAATCTCTTTGCCATTTTGGATATTCTTCGATCCAGTTGAATGGTAGTTTCTGTTTTCACACATTTCCACATCTTTCTGGTGTTTTGTTATGGAATTATATTTGTGCCACAATTCTGTGCAAACAAAAATCTATTCTGCGCTCAAAACTATTACTGCTGTGTTTGCAACTGTCAACATACATGCACAATCATGCTGTCTTTCACTCAGTTTTGTCAGTTTTACGCTCTCACAGATCTCCATTCTGTGCGCTCAACTACACTTTCACACTTGCTCGCGGTGTCTTTCTCGCTCGCATACAACACTGATGATCTGTTCAAGCTCAACTCTGCCTGCATGTTCGTTTGACTTGACACAGCGCTATGAATGTACTACAAAACCAGCTAATCACAGCCTTGCACCGGGTGGCTGACCCTGTCCAATTATGTGGCTATTTCAGCCGCCTCGCAGAAGTCCTGTAAAAGTCACAACAAAATAAAGAGGAGTGGTGCAATTAATGCCTTGTTAAAATGCGTTTTTGGTGAATATTTTTTATTTTATTATTGTATTATTACAAAGACTATTTTGGTCAGCGAGTTAAAGTACCATTGCACTATTAAATCCACATTTAGGATTTGAAATGATAGGTAACATTTTTCCCGTCATCCTTGTTTAAGTAGCTCAGCGTGAATGTGTAGTTGATAATGGAGAATCTGTGAGAGCGTAAATGACAAAACCAAGTGAAAGACATCATGATCATGCATGTATGTTGATAGTTGCAAACACAGAAGTAATAGTTTTGAGCGCAGAATAGATTTTCGTTAGCTCAGGATTGTGGCACAAATATAATTCCATAGCTTGTTGCTATTTGAGATCATTTTCACTGAGCAGCCTATAATTTTCTGCACTTCTTTATATGGTTTCCCCTCTTCAATCAACTTTTTAATCAAATTACGCTGTTCTTTGGAACAATGTCTGGAACGACCCATTTTACTCAGATTTTCAGAGAGAAAAGCACAATAACCAGCATGTACAACATTTGCTCCACCTGTTTGACACCTGTTTTTTTACAGAATGAATGACCTCACTATTGAACTCCACACTGCTATTATTTTGAACACACCCCTTTCAATTAATGATTACATTAAACAGAATCAGCAGCATACTGATGTTCTGTTGGTTTTCTGTTACTCTATTGCCTCTACTAGTAAATTATTTGCCATGTAGAAATATAATTTCTTCCCAAAACAGTGATTGATCTGGTTAATTATGTTGGACCGCTATTATTTTTGAACATAACAAGTTCATTTATGCACTCAGTACTTGTTTGGGGCTCCTTTACTATGAATAGCTGCATCAATGCAGTGTGGCATGGAGGTGATCGGCTTGTGGCGCTGCTGAGGTGTTATTAACAGTCCAGGTTGCTTTGATAGTGGCCTTCTGCTCATCTGTATTTGGTACATCTGATGTTCCTCATCTTCATCTTGACAATACCCTATATGGAGTTCTGTTGGGTTTATGTCAGGTGAGTCGGTAGGCCAATCAAACACAGTAATATCATGGTCAGCAAACCACTTGGTAGTAGTTTTGTCGCTGTGGGCAGGTGCAAAGTTCTGCTGGAAAAGAAATCAGCATCTCCCTGAAGCTTGTCAGCAGATGGAACTGTAAGTGCTTTAGATTCTCCTGGTAGATGTTGTGTTGACTTTGGACTTGATAAAACAGTGAACCAACACCGACAGATGACAGAACACCACAACTCATCACAGACTGCAGAAACTTCACACTGGACGTGAAACACCTCAGATTCCGTGCCTCTCCACACTTCATCCAGACTGGAGGACTTTGATTTC